TACATCGGAAGTTCTAAGACATCAATATATAATAAAAAATGAGATTTCAAAAGAGGTACTAACATTTTCAAAGGAAATTCTCAAGAACCACTTTCCGGTCTCTGAACCCTTATTTAGAATGAGTACATACAAGGGTTGGGTGGTTGGAGATTCATACAGGGAAGGGATTTCTTCGGGAAAGGGATGAGGAGGGTCTCACTTTTTGCCTAAGATGAGTGAGAGGATTTGACAGGCATATGCCCGGAGCTTGATATCCCTGCCTTGGATTTGGGAGGCCAGTAGGCAGGGATCTGGCTCCACCCTGGAAAGTTTAATGAGGGAGGTAACATGATATATTGGTTATGGCCTCAGGAGAGGTGGTTTCCTCTGGGCCAGCCTGCACTTTCAGAGATTGTGAAGGCAAAAGAGCCACCCTAGATCCATTGTGATGCCTGCCAAGACAACCTTCTGTGTGGAATGGAGTGCAGTAAAACCTGGGACAAAGAAAGGCATCATCCACATTATAGGAGATTTAATCAGAGAGGCCCAGAATGGGAAACTCCCTAAATCCCACAAACTCCCAGTATCCTGTGAGAGACAGTCTGGAGCCAGACTGCCTGGGTTAAAATTCCACGTCCACCATTTACTAGCTAGGTGACCCTGGGCAAATTGTTTAACCTCTTTGCCTCAGTTATGAAGATTAAAGAAATTAACACAAATAAAGCACTTAGAACTATGTCTACCCATAATCAGCACTATGCGTCAGCTATTTTCTTTGTTTTTGTTATTATTATATGTCAGGCTCAGAAAGCAAAACGTACAGCAATCCCAGTCTAATAAGAGCTTTCTGCTCTTCACTTTTTACTTCCGTCCCATGCACCAAAAACCAAGGAGCAACTGGGAAAGAAAATACGCCTGCTGCACCCCCCACCCCCACCCCAAAGCAGGTGTCCTACGAGTATGAAGATCATATAGTTGAGAAGAGAGTCTTTAATTTGAAAAAGGGTTGAGAGTTTTAATTAATATTGGTACTGGACAATTTTAATTACTGAATTGAGACTGATTTTAAGTGATTACAGGACTTTTAATTCCTTGCAAATTATGGAAACTCATTAAAAGTCATGGGAATGCCCGAGTTTTTATCTAGAGAGCAGGGTAGAGATTACTGACCCTGAGAAGCTTTAAGCAAACTATAGGGAGCCCCCAAATAAAGTGGCCTCTATTATTACATCCCATGAGTCTTGCTTGTTCCATGTATCAATTACAGATGCAAAACATACTTATGGTTAGTATTAACCTTTTTCATTCAATTTTGGAAATAATTCCTCATACTTA